CACGACTATGAGTACACCCCCCCCCCCCCCCCCCCCCCCCCCGCCACCCCGTCCCAACCCCGCCAACTCTCCCCCTCTCTATGTGCCTGTCCCTACCTTCTCAGCACGGCGGTCATGGACTACCTCGCGCAGCCGGCCCCGGCCTCGCTCCCCGCGGACGACCTCTCCGCCAACGGCGGCGGGGGGGCGGACGCGGGCTCCAATCACGGCTCGGACGGCTACTTCACCTCCGACGACCTGCTCCTCAACGACGACGACGAGCGAGGGTCGAGGCACACAACAGCCAGCACGTCGTCACACCACCGGCGACCTTTCTCCTCTGGCAAGGCTGATGGCGGCAGTGGTCCCTCGGCCGCGGGACAGGCCGTGGCGGGCGCGGCGCTGGCGTCGGACTACGGGACCTGGCTCAAGCGCCTGGCGGTTAGGCTGCGGCGCGCGACCCCCGCCGGGGAGCGGTTCGTTCGTCTTCGGTGCATTAGCCCCGCCGTGACGGGCGAGCAGGTACGTAATGCTTGCTGTGGACATATATATATATATATGTTGCGGTTGGGTTTTTCCCAGAAAATCTCCGGGGCCCCGGTTCGTTTGGTTTTTGGGGGGTTCATTTGTAACCAGCACTTCAGCTGAGATTGACCGGGAAAATGAACTGGAACAAAGCTCGCTGACGTTGACACATGCCTTGGAGTACTCATGACGAGCGCCAGGCTTAGTTGATGGTGGAGACACGTAAGTATCGCCCGACCCCGCGCGGCGTCGCGTGCCCGACCCCGATTCTGCAGGTAGTTCGGTGGTTGATGAGAGAAAAGGTGTGCAACGGGGACCGCGCCAGCGCCGTCCGGCTGGGACAAGATATGGTGTCTCACCGCTTGCTGGCCCCGGTGTGCGCCGGCTACCACCGCCCAGAAGAAGAAGTCACCGGCGGTCGGGACGACAGCAGCAGCGGGAAAGAGCAAGGAGAGCTGCTTCGCTCGTTCGACGACGCCGTCGGCTGGCTCTTCGCTTTCGTAGGGGACGCGCTGAGAGACCCCTTCGCGCCCCCGCCGCCGACCCAGGTCGCGGTGATGAGCAACACCGGCGTCGACGTGAGAGTTACGGGCTGGACGGAGGTAAGCGTAAACGCGCGTGGTGGTTGCCAGGGCTCGTGGCATCAAAGATGCTCGGAAGTGTCGCGAGGGGGGCGCTGTCCTGCAACTGTCGAACGTTTTTGGTCCGCAGCACGGACCATTGTCGATGTACGGCGGTCAGACGACATGTAAGCCCACATGACGGGACGGGACCCCTCCCAAGAGCCGTAAGATAGGTGGACGATGAAGCGTTACACGATGTCCTTTCCTTACGCCCAACAAAAACGCCCGCTTGCAGAGATCACCTTCTCGTAGGAGGGAACAAGTATCCCAACGCCTGCCGAGGACGATTCCGTCATTTCACACTGACTGGTGCTTCTTCTTTTTTTCGTGCTCCGCAGACTTCCGACGACGACGGAGCGCACGTAAGCTTCGTCGTGCACACCCGGATCGAGCCCACCCAGGAGGCGTGGGAGTCCCCGCGAAGATACCGAGAGTTCACGCAGCTCCGGAAGCGCCTGCTGAGGCTCGGGATAGACATTCCCGCTGCCGCGGCCGCGGCGGTGGCCAGAAATGGCGATGACGGCGGTGGCGGCGGCGGCGGCGGTGGACTCGCGCCGGGGCTGCCTAGGAAGACGTGGAGGGCGAACAAGTTCGACAAGGAGCACCTTGAGAAACGCCGCGCAGCCCTGGAGGCGTACCTGCAGGCCGCCGTTAAGGTAGGCGGAATGCGTCGTCGGGGATTTTTCTGAATACGAGAGTGATGGGCGGGTGCACTGCTGCTGCTGCTGCTTCTGCTGCTGCTGCTGCGGTGCGGATTTTTTGTTTCCAACAAGGCCGCGACGGCCGGTAGAATCGATTGGCTTGTGCGCGGCGCCTTGCGGATTAAAGTTTTTTGCTGCTAAATTGCCTATTTTGGTTTGGGCACATGGTCGCTGTGAGAGATGCTTCGTCACAACGAGGAACGTGACACGATATGCACGCACGGCCCCTTATCCTTCTCTTCTAGAAACCGATGAGAAATGCTTTCCGAGACCCTTAATTTCCCCTCTTTTTGTGATCGGAGTCAGGGCGACGGTCATACACCGTTGACCTAGTCTGACATACCCGTTCCCCCCCCTTTTTTTCCCTACCTCTTTCCGCGGCGGCGAAAAAAACACCAAAACGTTGCGCGCGTGCGCGTATGCGTAAACCAAAACCCCGCTTTTCAGGAGGCGTTGTCGGCGCCTCACTTGTCGGGGCACCTAATGATGCGCTTCCTGGATCCGGACGAGTCCAATCTCCGAATCCTGTCTGAGCAGCAGCGGCAGCAGCAGCGGAGCAGGAATCCGTTCGCGAGGGCGCATAACAGCCCTCCTTGCTCTCCGAGACGAGGAACGCCGGGGGGGCGGTGTGGCGCTGGCGGCGGGGCGTTGGCGGTTACCGCGGATGTCGCGAATGAGAGCATGGGAGACAGTTTGACGGAGGAGCGAACGGAAGCAGAAGACTTCGACTTCTTGACGGATTCGCTCGGGGGCTTCGGGTAAAACGTGGCACCACAGGTGGTAAGAGGAGGGGGGGGTGGGGGAGGGGGTGGCCCCCCCTCGGGCCTTGTCGGAAACCCTCTTCCTGGCACCAGATGTATGCCACGAGGGACAGAGAGGAAGTCGGGGTAAAATCAACAAAGGAGTTTCAATGAGGTTGGGTTGCGAGAGCGAGCGGAGGAAAAGTTGTGACGGCATTCACCAGGTGGGGGGGTTCGGGGTAGAACATGAGATGGGGCGCGGGGTGTTTGGCGCCCGGCTTCCTCGCAATTTCGTTTGTCTCGTCGGGTGTGCTCATGTTGCTGCTGCTGTTGTGGACCGATGGCGATTAGGCGGGTCGCCTGGAGCAAGAAAATTCACTCGGACAGATATCGTAGTTGTTGGTCGTCATCGTAGGCTTGCAGGTGTGGTAAGTTGTACATATTTCGTTTGCGTGAAAGGAGTCTGGGCTTGATAAAAGACAAACGATTGCCGTAGCTCTCTGTGAGACAGGAGTGGGGACGGTGGAGGGGAGTCACGAGCTCAAGCTTACGCAAACACGCGCGCGAGCGAGAATAATTTATAGGGAGACTTGTTTTTTGTTTCTTTTGCTTCTCTCTCCTGTTCGGGTGCTGTCTCGAGTGTCGGTAAGTCGCAACCACTTTTGCGTGCTCCTGGCACTGGTGTGGTAATATGTAGCTGTATTCAAGAGAAGAGAGAAGTCTACACCAGTCACCATGGGCCGAAATATGGGGCCAAGATGAATGAAATTCTTCATCACAACAATGCGCAAAGAATAGCTGCCAACGAAGCTCGCGTGGCGCTGGAGTCCGGTTTCTCCGCAATGATCGTATGATGTGCACATATCGGTAGTCTAGAGCGTAGTTGTTTCCCTTACCTGCTTCCCAACCACGGTTTCCAGGACAATGAAACTAGTGCAGAGTCTCGCTTGGAGGACACCGGTACAATGACTTTGGGTCATAGAGAGTTCGTGTCAGTTGGGCCCAAAATATTCCACATCCCATGTCTGACAGACGTGTTGCAAAAATGGTTCATGTCATCCAGAGGTGTACGTGATATTGGTCACGCCGGGTCAACGCCGGGTCAAACAAACGACCAGCAACAGCAGTGCCAAGTGAAAATTCGCCTCTCGCTATTCCCAGACATTGGTGGAGATGTGGGTTGTTTGTTGTCTCAACGCACAAACGCCTCCTTGGTTAACCTGCCGAAACTTTTACGTCAACTGGGCTGTCATACATAGGCGTACGGCGCAATGCGCACTTCCCAACATGAGCATGCTAAGGCGAACCACTGCCACCATTGCACATGGGGGACATACAAAGGCAAATCAGAGCCACCATGCTAACGACTCTTGGCTGCGGATAGCGATGAACTCGACGTGTTTTAGAACCACAAAAGAACGAAACGCCGCAGAGGTAAATAGGCAGGCGGCTCGACGCTCTGCACCAAAAAAAGCCCCGCTGCTTGTATCTTGTCCTCTGATCCTCTGCTGGGCCGTTGCACTGCCACTGCTGTTTACATCTCTTCGTCGTCGTGATCGCTCCGGCTAGGCCCGGGGCACGAGCCCTGCAGATCTCGAGGACCTTCGTAGCGGCAGGCGCAGTACATGCAGTACGAGTAGCTCGCACGGAGGTAGGCCAGGCACGCCGATAGCTACACGGGGGTGCGAGAAGGAGATGCAGTGGGCAGGCGGAGGGGAGGCGCATCGCCAAGAATAGAGGGTTATTGAGGGTTATTAGAATCGTCGGGTCAACTCGTTTTCGGCGGGAACAACGAAGTACTCTGCACGGCCTTTTCTTTTGGGGAACGCCAAGTGGTAATGCCGAGAGTTTTGGCTCAAGAGGGAGCACGCGAAGGAGGGTGGTACAAAATGATGCACTCGATCTACCGGTGTCCCGCGCCAAACGTGCTCGTAGCCTTCGTCAGTGACGGCTCGACGGTGTCGTTGCAAGTTAAGCTCGAACGCACGCGGCGAGGAGACACCCGGAAGGTTACCGCTTACTCCATGACCTGATTGATACCTCGTTGTTCTGCGCTACAGACAACTGACACGTGACACCTCGAAAGCGACAATAGCAAGAATATGTAGCCAATCAGAGACAAACACACGCACACCAGGGACTAGACAACCACTCTCCTCCGCGACGCACCCCTGTCGGGGGAACCCGATGACTAGAAAGGGTGTTCGCGCTTATTGGTCGCGCTAGAAGTTGAGCCGGTTAGCGCGGTAGATGTTAACCAAAGAAACACACACGTGCAGTCACCCCGGTCGGTAGGACTCTTCGATTAGACAAGGTGTTCGCAGTTTCTTATCCCGCTATAGGACCTACGTGTTTTGATCAGCCGGTTAGTGATGTCGATGCGAAAGCAAGAAACAAACACACACACACACACACCTGCTACGTATGCACCTACTTTTCATGAACAGCAACATTCCACGTAGCAGACGAACGGGAATCCATAGCCTATCGTCGCCCCTCTTCACAACACGGACAGCAACACACCCCCACCTTTTCATCCGCCGTCATGACGTCCCACTCTTCTCGAAGCCCCCCGTCCTCCCCCATCCCTTCCTCGCTAGTGCTTGCCTCCCCCTTTGCTTCCTTAGGCTCCTTAGAGAGGGTATCCCCTGTGCTGCCCGTTCCACCCCATGCTTGTGAAGGCCCAGCTGTGGTGTCAGCGGCGTCGGTGTCGATGCCGCCCCTCCGGCCCTCGTCGTTCAAGTAACTGCCGCCGCCGCCATTGGGATCCTCGTCTAAGCTCTCCTTTTCTTCGTCCGGCCACATGATCGACCTTCCAAGGTCGAGAGAGAGAGGGGGGGGGGGGGGGGGGGGGGGGGGGGGGGGGGGGGGGGGGGGGGGGAGAGAGTGTGTGAGAGTGAGGGAGCAAACATCAGAAAGGTGGGTTTTGCCGGAGGTGGTGATGGTGGAGATATCTCGGCGCCAGCGTGTTCCTACTTGCGTTTGGGAGTGAGGGGTTTCAGTGCACAAAAAGAGGTGGCAACGACGGTCGTCACGAGAAAGAGGGAAAAGGATCAGGAAACACAAAAGACCACAGCAGTGCATGGCCCGCCGGCACCCCATCGAGTCTCCCGCGGATCCCCGCGTGTCCATGTTCATATCGAATCAGAGGCTGTGCGTCCCAGTATCCATCCACCAAAGCAAGCGGTTCGGACCAGACCAAGACTGTGCTTCCGCAAGCACACCATATCGCGCCGTTGGCGACGCGAGACACACGCAGGCCCTACACCACAATCAAACGCGGGGACAACAAAACGTGGCCAATCCACACACTCTCCGGAAGTAGAGATAAGTCTTTTCAATGCCTCGGCTCACCTTGTCCTTCCCGAAGTTTCGTCCAGGCTCTCGACCAGCCTCCGGGCTCGGCTGAGGTCTTGCTGCAAGCGCCTATCCACGAACTGCGCCGCCTTGGACATGCGAAAGTGTTCCCGCCTTTGCACCTTGCGAAATCGATTTCGTACGTACGTTATGGTGGTGGTCCCGACGTCCCGGCGTTGTTTGCACGGATGGGAGTGGTATCGAGGACACGGCGCGATCGTTGCTCGAAAGGGCAGGAACCCCCACGACAACAGGGCACACACGACCGTGGCACCACCAGCCGAACAAAAAAGAAACTCCCTCGAACGGTTGTGTATTTGCAGCGGCAATCACGAGAGAAGAACTCCCACTGCTTGCCTGAAATCTCGCACAACAAACTAAATCGTCATGCGATGAGAACTGCGGCGAGAAAAGAAGGCGGACGGGGACCAGATTCAGTCTCAGCGGCACTACCTGCTACCTGCGTGTATACGTTTCCCCGAGCTGCAACGACGACTAGAGTTGGTACGAAAGCACGACATCTCCTCATTTGACTATAATACGGGTGGACATGGCAGCTATCGGGAGTCATGTTTGCCCTGTCTCATACATACACGCCACCGCGACAAAGGCCGAGCTTGTTGGGACGAGTTGGCAACATAACTGTCCCTTGTACCACGCCTAGTTCTGTATTTTGTCTCTGTGTATGCCCGCACGTTCAGCCTATTTGGCAGCTCTGTGTCGGCAGCGTCGCCCCACCCCCGGGAACCTGAAACAAGGCGAAAGGTTCCGGCTTACCACACCCATGATCGCGAGAACCCGCCAGGCCAAAACGAAGGGAAGCAGACACACCCGCTGCTGCTCTACACAGTAGCTAGTCCTACGGGAGGCGGCGAATATCACCCAGCACACGAGAGAGGATGCCACCTTACCTCCTGTTGGGTGTCTCGGGACGCTTTCCTTTTGGCCCGCTCTTTCTGTTCCTCTTTTCTTCGCTTGGACTCCGACTCCTTGCCCAACCTGCACAGCACGGAGGCCGGCAAGCAGCGGCAGTCGGCAGGCGTTGGCGTTGGCTTTGCGTGACACCAAGCCTGGGCACAACACCCTCCCCGCTACCCCTACGTCGACAGAAGGCAAACATCTTTCCCTCATTGCCTGGATCGGTTGAGGCACCCGTTGCCGTGCCTACGTAAGCGTGAGATTTCGAATTTAGGTGTACGGTGACATTCCACAGACACGCATGGGCTCATCTGTGTCCCGAACCCCGGTTCCCAAATCTCACCCTGCCCGACCCTGCTTCAGCTCCGGCATCAACGGCTTCGTTGTGCCCTCGCCGTCCTTGCCGAGCCCCCCTCCCTTGTACCCCAGCTTCATGAGGAGCTTAAAGCCTGCGTTCTCCTGTGTTTGTGTGGCACGGCAGTCAAGGGTTGGTGGGACGGGCTTGGGTGAGGTCAGAGGGGGGGGGATTTGGGATGTCTGCTGCCGCTACGTCGACAAAAACGCTGTTCTCTTTTCTCCCTCTTATTTGCACCCTCTCGCCTTTCGAATGGCTCACTTGAGAAGCTACAACAGAGCCTAATTCCCCTTTGCCCCAAATCCTTTCTTTGAGAGGAACAGGTCGACGCTTCCATCTACTAGACGGTGTGCTCCGTCCCGCAGGAGTTGGTGACGCACCTCCCCTATCTTCTGCTGCAACCCTTCCTCTCTCCTGTCCTCCATTTTCTTGGCGATATCTTTCTTGGACATCACTGCGGCGGCGGCGGCGGCGGCGGCGGCGATGGCGGGCCGGAGTGACAACGGTGAAATATTCATTGGGGTCGCTGAGGATGCGATGGGAAACCGGGGGACAGGTTTCGCAACCCCGTACCAGTGGTAAACTATAATACACATGCTTCACAGCAGCAGCACTTGGTGCGATACCGCAAGACGAAACCAAAAAGATACGCATGATTTCGAAGAAGCGCGCTTCCTCAAACTACTTTAATAAGTAATGGAACGGACGACAGAAGGGTCCTACACAGGGTGCCCTCCTTCCACGAACAAACGATACACATAAAGAGTGACGCCTGCATCTAGTAGTCGTATCTCAGCTGCACCCGAGTTGGGGAGGGTCACCCTCTGCAACAATTCCCAAGAGAGTACATCAGCGACTAGACCAGCGATGTCCCTAGTTTTGACGATGCGCCCAGCTGCTCAGCAACCGCGACACTGGCTGTGTCGTGAATCATCAGCGTGGGGCGAGCATGAAGCTGCACACGTCTGCAAGAGCCCGCTCACGTTGCTCTGTAACTTATCACTCGTGATATTGGGGACAACGACAAATCGGGTTGATGACCCTGCATGACAACTCGTCGCTGTTCAGACCCCGTTCTTTTTGGTTCGAATAGGCAGAGCTCACGCACACCGGGCTTGCTACGCCCCCCCGATGCGGGTTAAACCACCCGACTCGCCTCTTCCCCGCTCTGGGTCTGCCTCTTGCTGCGCTCGCTTGCCGCGCGGCTTGTTCGGTTCCTCGACCACAAACGACGCCGACAGGTAGTCGTCCTCGTCTCCGAACGCCGGAGTGGACGTTGCTGCTCCTATTGCTGATGCAGGGTTCAACGCCTTGGCTGTAACATATCAGGAGAGAACAAAAAAACACCCAAGTATTACAGAGACGGGGGGGGGGGGG